ATAGCGCTGACAATTTACATTTTCCCCGAGTTGAGGCTAACCCTGTATTCCCAGAAGGCTCATACCTTAAGTCTTATGGGAATACAGGGTTAGTCTCAACTCGGGGAAAATGCAAATTTTTAAGGCTATTGTAAAAACGAAAATTCTCTTGCTCCCTTTTGTGTTTGGTTAGGTCTTTGCGCAAGAGAATCTGTAGTCAAATAAAGCAGCGGTTTTTTGCTATCAATTCGAAACTGGAGTATTACTGCCTTGTTGGTAGGTGCGATCCATTCGAATTTTGAGGGGGTGGGGGTGGAAGAGTGAAAGATTTAGGGAAAACAATTCCTGAACGGACCGAGGGGCCGAAAAAAAAATCTTGCAAGGCAAAATTTTGAAAAATCTCCACTAAAGCTTTTATTTTTTTAAATTTACAACAACAAMAAATTACAAGCGCGCGCCTGCATCGGAGTTGACTGTCCTTCTGAGGGACAAAACTGAATCACGGCTCACGCTATAAAAAAATATTCACGCCTCACGGCTAATTTTTTCGGCGCATTTTCACGACTCACGGCTAATTTTTCAGACGTTTCACGGCTCACGGTTACCCCATTGAGACCGTCAACATAGGCCCCACGGCCATACATTTTCAAAATCGTCGCAAAGTTTACTAAATATTTCTTTTCAGCGAAATAATTCTACAAAGAAAAGCTTTTCCAAGTCATCAACTTTAAACTTTTCTGAAAAGTTCCATTTTTGCTTTACTTCTTGTCCATCTTTTTTTCTGTGCTGAATRAAGAAACCAAACCATCTTTTACATGCAATTAACATTTTCCAGCCGCAACGATAAGCCATAACTTGTAAAGTGAAAAAAGGCAAAAAGTATGRTTATTTGCGATTTGCTATTGATTATTCTTAAAATTCCAGGAGAGCTGGATAGCCTCGTTCCTAGGAWAGAAAACAATAGAAAGTAAACAATCAAGTTACAAATAGATTCGAGAATAAGCCTGTTTGCACTGGAATTTTGTGAGTAGTCTAGGCAGGTTATGCCTATTTTTTAATGTGCAATTGATTGTAGTTGCTCGATTTTGATTTTTAAAGAGTGACCTGACCTGACCTGAAATGCAGAATCTCATTGGGCGGCGTATTTATGGATTAGTAATGAATTTTATAATGCTATTTGATACATATAGTACGCAAAATTTGGAAATGTTGTACATTATTGACTAAACGAACAGGAAATTTGTTCTTGTCATTTTTGAGACTATTTAGTTGTACACTCGCCGAGAAGGAGTTTTTCAAATCTTGCAAAAATAAAAGAGAATGTTCGGTTTTTGGGGAATCTGCTCAAGGTCCTCAAGAGCTTCATACATTCCGAGTTTTGAACGCTTGCAAAAGGGTTATTATAAATCCGAATACCCCAAAAACTCAGCAACATTACTAYATTAATTTAATTTAAGTCACAGTATGCTCTTTCTTGTCTAGCCTGTGTACAGACAGAAATTTTCTCAAAGTTCAGTGAATTTTGAGAAAATTTCGGTCTGTACACAGTCTATTTCTTGTCCTRGTATCTGTGGTTTGATTGCTTCAAACTGTATCGAGTTTGTGACTAGTCACCAGTCCCTTTTTGAATTAACTGTTATCATTACAATTTGCATTCGATTTGCATTCTTTATTGACAAATGACTGTTAGACTAAAATTTACATATTCCGAGTTGTTGATGTATTACCTACTGTCTATAGACCTCAAAAAATTATTTCTTGTCGTCGAACCAAAGAGATAAATATGAAGAATTTCCTGTCGCTGTTTATCGCTATAACCTTTTCAATGAAGACTTTTGGTAAGTTAAAAAGTGAYTTATTTATCAAGCACACTCTATTTCAATGATGTCATTTTCACTAATCAAAGTGCTTAGATATCTGTAAGCAGCAAACACAAAAATCAGTGWKAGACCTGTGAACCATTTAGTTTTCTATTTTCATAAATAAAGCATTTTCATGCTAAAGGATTTTTAGATTTTGATGTCATATCATGCACGTCAGTGATCTGTCTTTTCATATCCTTCATGGGCTAATGGAATGGTTGACCTATATTCAATCTATGGCACGAACAACCGAGGAGATGAGGACATGAACGTAGCTACAATCGTTGCTTAAATGCCTGAGCTCATTTAGTTATGTGACTTGCAATACAATGAATGGTTTAAATAGAGGATATTATATTATACATGGACGCGCGGAGATACGGAGAAGATAAAATTCCAATCGACTATTAAATATTCTGTTTATCGTATTATTATCAATGAAAGCAAATTTTTTTAAATAACTTTTTCTTACATCAACATATAGAGATACCACAAATGTTTTATTCTCACTTTAATGAAAATAACAACTTTATGTAATGGAGAAATATAGATATTTTTATGTGATATTTAAAAAACGAGTAGGAGTGTTTTATCGTGAGATATAAACACGAGACCGAAGGCCGAGTGTTTATATCCACGATAAAACACGAACTACGAGTTTTTTAAATGACTTCTAAAACCCAAACCTCAGAAACTACAATATTTTAGTTTAACATGTTTAAGTAAATACTCCTCTCACATTTTAAATGAATTTTAAACCGATCAGAGAAAAGAGTATTTATATTTGAGCCTGGAAGCTAAGTTAACTGTCATTTGGACCACTTCCCTTCTTCATCGCCCATCGCCAAGCAAGAAATGTTTCTCTAACTTAGCGATGGGGTTAACAAGCTACTCTGTCTGCAGATTAACCAGACGTAAGCCGAAGCTGAGACATGTAAGAAAAATGAAACCTTCCATTATACTCCCTTCCGACAATTCCAACTTCCGCTAATTTTCTGTTTTTACTGTGCCGTACGTTGCCATGTGTACGTTGTTCGTTGAAAAACATATATTGCTTCATAGCTCAGTTGATAGAGCACACTTTATTTGCATTGCAGAGGTCATGGGTTCGATTCCAATTGAATCCCGAATTTATAAATAATCACTTACTTATTATTAAAATTTCAATGCGACGATCATAATTTATTCACCGCAGTTTTAACCATCATTTCATCATTACATACATTCCTACAAATTGAAGAAAGATATGCATAAGGCTGTTTCTTTGATTTTTTTTTCTTATTTCAAAAGAAATGTGTTCTGTTTATCCTTTTAAACATATTTAAAAATATGTATTATTTTTCCCCTGCCATGAATAGAAATTAAAGTTCACTGCTTTGATTACTTTCAAAAAGATCACTAGCAATGTTGGCCGAGTGGTGAGAACGCTGGCTTACTGACATTATAGGTGGACACCGGTTTTCTTCCTGAGTACGTTACTATAGTAGTACAGTTTCTTGCAATTCAGCCCTTTTACATTGCTGTTATGAGGACGATAGCTTTCACCGACCTTTCTTTGTTCATTAATCATCACTGTGGTCTCCAATGATTGTAAATTTATTTTTTTCCAGGTGCTGCGCCGCATTTTACAAACCCCAGTAACTATCCAACACTCACGGATGATTCACCACCCGGTAAGAGGTCTTTTCCTTGGTTTAATCATCAAATTAACTTCGTATATGCTTTTCTTTGTTTTTACATCTGATATGTGAGCAAAATTGATAGGAAAATTATAGATGTGTTTGTCYGCACTATGAATGGATTATAAAATCTACAATCTTGGACAAAAAGCTTGAGTTATAAATTGYACTCCAAGGCAGTTTAAAGCGTTCTCCACCCCTCCCCTCAGTGCTGTTAGTACTCAAAAACAGAATCCAACAAGGAAGTGTGCATGTGACCGCTTTTAAAAAGACTTTACAACATTCAGAGATTTTGTCCATGATTGTATGTAATATTGTCAGCTATTTGATGGCTGTTCTGCGTTTTCCGGCGCTATGTCTCACAGCGGCCATCTTGTAGGAACTTCAACAATGTTTTCTTGCTAGCAACTATTATTCATTCCTTCGGTCTTTTATCTCATGGGAATGATTGATATCAAYATCCAGTCCTCTCCTTGTGAAATACGGGCGATTTTAAAATCCTATTTAGATGTTATATATACATAAGGCTGCATTCATTATGGGGGGATCCCCAAAATCTCAGCAGTAATTTTCATATCCCCCTTAAATTTGTTCGGCTAAAAATAAACAAATGGGAAAATTTACTGAGTAAACGAGTGATTTTATGCTTATCTTCAATCTTTAATACTAGATTTCATCTTGTAGCACTGAAATACCTAAGTATAGGCTCAATTTATTTTCTGGTCATCTTGTACTAGTCCAGCATGCAATACTTTAACCTTATGGGAAATCCTGTTGATGCAGTTGATATTACAGAGTGCGGTGAATATACTTCTTGCAGCAGCAACAATAATGAAAGTGATGGTCGATCTCTGTTCGCCTGGTTGAAGAGGCTTGTCTTTTATTCCTTTGCTTACTATATTGTCGAGCCGCGAGGCACCGAGACGTTTCCATTACTCTATAATTTCATTTGTATGTTTTTATTGTATTTGTGATTGCTAAATTGCTAAACTGGGACAACATTAATCAGTGTAAAATAGTTTTAGGTCTAGTGTTACAGGTCTAATAGAGATGTTTTTTTTCTACCATGATAGACGTTTTATGAAAACATTTGACATCCCCCTTTTCCAGTCCCTAAATTTTCAGATCCCCCCCAAATTTCTTCTGCCCCCCCTGTAGTATACATAATGAATTCAGCCTAAAAACTCTCATGACATTAAAGTTTCGTGAATTAATTTGATTTTTTATTACTGAATTCCTGTAGGTACCCTTTACTATACGTTTAAGGCAGCAGATCYTGGTGGTAAGGCAATCACTTACAGTCTTGAAAATACGATCACAGACTGGCTTGAAATCGAGGCATCTAATGGAACTACCACAGTCAAGAAAAAGATAGACAGAGAGGTACAATTTGTTCACCCTTAAAATTTTATATCAGCTGATGATTTTATAAGGTCTCGTTAAATYTAAATCGCTGATCATGAATCCCCCATTTCCTAAGTTGGCAGAGCAAATAATTATAAAAGAGAGATTCCGATTCACGAGGCAAGCGCAAAACATCAAAATGATTTTTTAAGCTTTAAAGCTTTGTTGTATAATTTTAAACAAACGGAAAAAAAACGCCTCGAAAAGCCCAACAAGTTTGCGTTCATGCATCATAAACCGTAATCTTGAATCTTCCGGGACTTTGGACTTTGTTTTATTATTTTTCCGCTGACCTATTTGAATTCTGTTTCTAGTTAAGCCACGGAGGTGTGAGATCCGGAAGAACCCTGAAGGGTCGTGATCATAACTCGGTAACTTTCCACCTTTCGGGGCTCGCTCGWCCGCTGGTCGGGGTAAGAAACAGCATTCAAAGAGATCAACAGACAAAAGAAAGAAGCGGAAGATTCAAAATGAYGAGCGTAATCTGAAAGTAGCACAAAAATAGAGGATGGAAGCACATTTTGCCGGCTTCCTTTTATTGTGTCTTTAGAAAAGACATCTATATTAGCACTTAGAATATAAATGACATTAAATAACATTAACGCTAATTATTGATTTTTATAATATCGTAAAATTTTAGACATAACATACGACGTACGACCCTTTCTGACATTAATTACTAAGATTTATAATGAAATATGACGTACGACCCTTTCTGACATTAATTAAGGAAAGAGAAAAATACAGAAAAACCCTTATATCTGAGTAAAATATCTTGTAATCCATTTTGTCTACGGTATTGACGGTTAACGTTTTTGACGTTTGACAAATAAGAAAAACAGCGATTTGACTGTTCACGGCTAACATTTTGTCTACGCTAAGTGACTCCTCCCTACCAACCTCCCTTCCCCCCCTGGAGTTCATTCATGGAATTTTGCTGCTCATTTTCAGGCGATGTTATCAATTAAAAACTTTCACGTATATGCTACTAATACTGCTAGCGAAAAGGTGAGAGAATACAGCAGCAGTATAGATCATATCTCACTACAATCGAAGTGTGTATGTAGATGATGAATGTGCGAGCTCATCTACATTTGGGATTGGCATTSATTGTCTTTTACATGAAAAAAATACTTCATCCTGGTAAGCTTATGAACTGTCATTTTAGGGGCAATTCACGCAAAATCAAGGTAAACCGGTGCAAGTACTACTCTATGCTGCTAATTAGCTAAAGATCAATTTAAGAAAAYTTTTGATGGCGAAAATCTAGCTGTTCCCTACCTGGACTAGTTTTGATAGAAATGGTTTTCATTGTTCRAAGGAAGTACAAATACAGCGTTAATTGTAATCCTTAGGAGTATCAATTAAGTCGTCATGAAGATTTTTAAAAATCATTATATTTTGCACTTTCAAAGGCCTTCAAAGTTAAAAGATGCTATTAAAATAGCTTTTAAACACGTCTGTTTGATTATTTTAAAATGTATGGAATGAAAACCAACATCAAAAAAAAAAAAAACTCGAATGATCGCATTATGGTCGTAACTTGTCTTTTATCAGTGACGGATCGGATCCAGGGGGTTCCATTGGTTCCTAGGAACCCCCGTCGAGCATAAAAAAATGATAAATGAAATTTAATAAAAACGCATAGTGCATCCGAGAAGGATGAAGCTRGCTTATATCTTACAATAAGTAARCGGCTTTATATTACACTTTTAYCACAAGGATACAATGTACGCACACGGAACTGTGAAGCATTTTGAGACTTTTAAAAGAAAAATCTCTTAAAACAGATGCGCTATCTATAACTACATTCGCCTTACATTTGCTAGAGTGCGAAAGGCACAGTCAAAAAGTTCGTTTTAGGAAAATGAGAAAACAAAGTGGAAACCCCCTTTGGAAAATCCTGGATCCGCCACTGTTTATTATTAATAATATTATAAAATTTTGTTTCACTAAATGTACTAGGAGAGAACCTCAAATCCAAGACCAAAAGGTACTCTAGGTATTCAATATTAATGTGATTGTATATCAATATATAGGGCCAGTTGAGAGTAATCCTGCAATTTATCGACGTTAATAATAAACCACCAATAATGACCAACATACCTAAAACAATAAACATCACAGAGGTAAGTCTATTTGTTTAGTCTGTCCGTAATTGACAGTAGGGTAGGGTCGTACGGAGCCGATGGGTTCCTGGGAGAAATATACCTGTTCTTATGTCCCAGCCAACTGTAAGTCACAAGAAAAACTTCTAAAATTTTTTGCCAAGATAATAAAAATTTCCTAACCAAAAAAATAATATAAAAATTAGGTAAAGCCTAATAGCGGAGCTCCCAAAAGGACATGCATGTACGTTTGATAAAGATGGGGGATGGAAGACACATTGGTCAGACTAGCAGTGATATATATAATTATAAATATAAAGAAAACCACTCATTTTGAATTCTGGTAATATTGTATGCATTCTGATAAAGTGCATAATTTATTGTGAAGAGTAAACCACGTATAATGTTACATATCTTTCTATTAAAAGTATAATTTAGGTTATTTACAAAATATAATGCATTGCCTGCTACGAAAAAACCATTTCTGGAACGCTATATAAGCCATTTTTGACCTTTGAAACTTTTGCCAGGAACAAAATCATTTTAAATTAAGAAGGGAGCCACATTTGCTTGTGAGATTGTCAACAGCTCAAAATCCGTTCCTAGGAAAAAAAGTCGTACAAGAGCAGTTATTTAGAAGAACAGACCCCGTTGACTCCTCCGGTTAAATGTTTGGCTCAAGGTCATGCCGTGCGGAAGAGCGGAGCGAGTCGGAAGAACACGAGTAAAGATCAATAAATTGCCGATACTCAAAAATTAAATGAATTTGCTGAGTTTTTTTCACAGAATTGAAGTTAAGATTTAATTAGACACAATTATATTGATCGTTTTGATTATAGATTTAAATATAGAAAAAAAAGTTTAGTAACAGAAGAAAAACTTCGTTTCTCTATTCACTATATAATGTCGTATTCAAAAAGTTAAATTCACATCAGATCAGAAACATGACTTACTGGCAAAATAAACAACGGATTGTTTATGAAAATAAACAATCAAAGCGTAATGTATTAAGTTTTTTGTAACATAAAAACAGGACAGAAAATAACTTTTATTATATAAAACTGAATGTACCAAAGAATATTATTATGAAGCTCTGAAAGACTGTATTATTCAAATGAATGCTAAAACATTTTCACTGTAACTTTCAGATTACGGCCGTAGACACTGAGCTTTATACTGTTTTGTATGAAGATAAGGACGACCAGATAAACCAACAAACTGAAGTTTTTTTACATGGTGGAAACGAGGTAAGTATACTTACACCCGGGGGGGGGGGACTCCCTAATATCAAAGGGCGGGGGTCCTCGGCGTCCCTTTTAGGGTTTGAAATCAGTATTTTGGTCCCGCTTAGGGCGATCATGACAAGAATTCCTACCAACTGAGTTTTGTGGTCCCTTTTAGGGTATACGGCGACCCTAAGCAGTCATTCGAGCCGACGGTGTTCGATGATTGTGTAAAAACACAAATAAAATCGGTAAACCAAAACAAAATGACCTGTTATTGATTGGTCCCTTTTAGGGTTGAAATTTCAGCACTGCCACGCCCATCATCTCACAATAGAGGTCCCTTTTAGGGGTCATTTTCACAATCTCCGCCGAGGACCCCCGCCCTTTGATATTAGGGAGTCCCCCCCCCGGG